AGGAATTCCTCATCGAAATGGCCAAATACTACGAGATCGTCGTGTATACGGCCAGCCTCAGCAAGTACGCGGACCCGCTTCTCGACAAGCTAGACCCCGAAGGAGTCATTCGTTACCGGCTATATCGCGAGCACTGCGTTCAGTACGAGGGTTGCTATGTGAAGGATCTATCCTTACTTGACCGTGACATCGCGCAGACGATCATCATCGACAACTCACCGATGTCGTACATTTTCCACCCGCGCAATGCCATCGGCTGTTCCAGTTTTATTGACGATCCGAATGATCGAGAGCTCGTTTCCATCTCTCGCTTCCTCACAAAGATCCGCGACGTGGAAGATGTGCGCAACCACCTGCACATCTGGGATGCCGACTATTAGCACGCGATCGACTCAGCGGCTTGCCAACTTTCCTTTTGCTATTGAAGAACCAAGTGTGACCTAAAAGTATATTAGAAATACGAATTACTTAGATTATAGATAAGATCAATAAAAATAATCATGTTTCTCAAAAGCAGGACACATTATATTTGACGACAACCGCAACGCTGCATATTTTTCTGGTAGGACGCTCTAACCCACAGTAATACGCTTTTTACTTGCACCACATTGGTGCTGTTATTAAAAAAAAGTGTCTAAGTTATTAGAGTTTTCATGGCATCGGTTTGCCCAGACCTTTTTACATCTTTTAATTTCGAGTCGTTTTTTTTTCCAAAGGATATATTTTTAATTAATGATTGTTGGCCTAAAAGAAAAGTACAAGCAAAGAAAAAAGGAAATTGAATAGCTTGATGCCGGCAAAGTGCTAATAGTTAGCATTCCACATTTGCAGGTGGTTGCGTACATCCTCCACGTCCTGGCACTTGGTCAGGAAGCGTGCGATCGAGTCGAGTTCACGGTCGTTCGGATCATCATAGAAACTCGAGCAGCCGATGGCGTTCCGAGGGTGAAAGGCGTAAGCCATCGGCGAGTTGTCAACGATGATCGTCTGCGCGATGTCGCGATCGAGTAATGACAGGTCTTTCACGTAGCAGCCTTCGTACTGGACGCAGTGTTCGCGATAGAGCCGGTAGCGGATAACACCTTCCGGGTCGAGCTTATCAAGCAACGGGTCGGCGTACACACTGAGGCTGGCCGTATACACGACGATCTCGTAGTACTTGGCCATTTCGATTAGGAACTCCTCAGCGCCGGGCCGCTTGCACACGTATACAAGGTGGGTGGTACCATCAATCTCCACAGGAATGACGAAATCGTAGTTGTTTGTTGGTCTAAACGTAGAGTGCACAAGGGTTTCATCCAAATCCAGCACCAGGCACTTCTTGTCAGCATCAATCGGAGATACAGGTGGCAAGTAGCTTGGACGCAACTCAATCGTCTTGCGTCTAGATTCTGCAGTCTGAGCCTTGGAGACGGATGGCACGACTGGCTTTGGCTTCTCCACAACTTCCTGTTGCTGCTGCTCGTGATGACCAATTGCCGACCAAATGTTCACGAAGATGTTGCCGAAGCTCTTTCGCTGTTGCTTCACGCTCGCTCCTCCTAGTGGCTTCTTCAAATTTGCTCCTCCAAGGGACATACGCCGAGCACCAGTGAGGATTGGCTGCTGCTTGCCATTTCTGTCAGCTCGGTGGACGATGCTTGCCAAAGGGTTGGCGAGATTGAGATCTGCGAGCTGCTTCGTCGGTGGCGCCGGTATTGGTGGGGTAACACCATCGTGTGTCATCGT